GGAGGAAGAGTCCTCCCCGTCCTCCCCTAGAACCCCATAGCTGTTAGAGAGTGGCACCTCAAAGGGGGGTGCCACAGGGATAGTAGCGGGCTTTTTATTTCTGGTGTTCTTTGGCACAGAGACTTGCCTGTTGACCGCGGGCTTTGGGAGGTCGGTAGTGTTCATAGAATGGGGCAAGACAATATTAGCGATAGAAATAGCAATAAGAAAAGGCAGCAAGTAGATGACAGTATACATAACAATAAATGCCAGACTTGAATTGAAGGCTCTTCTTATGTTTTTCCTAAAATGTTTCGCCTTAGCGATATTTTGAGTCAAAAGATCCTTCAGAATTGTCGGAGGCGGGGGTAAAGGTGATAAATTCATCTGTCTATTCATGTAGCAAATAGACTTTATACATGTATATTCTTCCTGAAACCTTTTTGCATTGCAAAATCGACAAATTAATGCCATTCTGGAAAGTTTGTGAGGTGGAAGCGGATTGTCTGCGCTCTCATCTAAAGCTGGGGGACGCTGTTGTCGATTAGCCTGATCATGCCTATGATTTTGATCTATATTTAGATCTATTATATCATCTTGCAACATTACATCTAGACCTGCTTGCCACTGGATCTGGCGAGATCGGCGTCTGACCCTATGTCGAGATGGCATTTTCTTAATCTGTCTAGATATAGATATAGATTTAAACTTAAATCTAGCCTACCTGACCCAAGTTTAAACTTCGCTCGGCTCTAGTTATGTTTTGGTTTAAAATTTCTTAATCTGTCTAGATCTGGATATAGACTTAGATCTAGCCTACCTGACCCAATCTCCAGATGGCATCTTCCCTCACTTCGCTCGGCTCTATTGTCCGGACAACATCAAAAGGACAACTTTTCGACCTCATCACACCGAATCTAAGAGGCGAATCTCTCTGATTTTTTGCATGCGACGCTGAATTATAAAAGACCGGAAAAATCTCGATTTTCGTGCATTTGCGAAAAGAAAGTGCTGTCTATATTCATTAGTAGGCTAATGAATTGCTCATTTAACTAAACACCGCACACTTTGTATAGCAAGCACGGTACTATGCTAAAACCATAAACAATACAGGGTGTCGTTGCTGGGGCTCAGCCAAAAATTTCTGAGGCGGAGGGGGGGAGGAGGGGAGG